GTAGGGAATCAGCCTTGAAGACTGGTCCTGAGTTAACATTTCAAGTCCTAAACTGAATTTGCTGGTCATACACTACTGATTGGATTTCCTGAAGCACCTGGAAAATGGGTCAAACATCAGAGGAACAAAAGCTCCCAATAAGTACCTTATAAAATCCCCTCTGCTTTCTCACATCATTATAATATTGGTTTTGGCAACAGCATCGAGCTGTGATAAGTACAGGAGTGGCTGCATATTCCCTTCACTACTTCCTTTTGATGCAGTCCTTTTGAACAAAAATGAGCTTCACTAGATACGGTTACATTAGACACCCCTTTATTTAACTTTCATCAAACAAATGAGTTCATCGCCTCAGCTTCCTCCTCTGAAGTACATACAAAAAAACCACAGTTTACAAAACCAAATCTTTGTGGAACCCATCTCCAGACTGATATCCTGAAGCATCTTTCAGTTTTTCTCCATTGCCTCATTTCATTTTGTAAACCATTCTTCCAGTATTCAGTTACTCTTTAAAATACAGTCTAACAGACTAACACACAGGCTCTAGTGGAAATACACACTGCAAACTTCACTGACTCAGGTTACCCACCATCTGAAAAGCTCATTTAGTAAAATGCAGAACTGTTATTCACAACGGAAAACCTCAGACCAAGGTTACTTTTCTTCACAACTGCCAAATGCAAAGAGCATGCGCTAGAAATGCAAGAATAAACTCAGTTCAGCACAAAAAATTAATATGATTTTGAACTTTTTAAAATTAGCGTAAAATGTCTACACATCACAAATTATGTACGTTTACTCCCCCTCTAAAAACAGAAAGCGATTTCTCAAAGGCAAATATTTTCACTCAACAAGCCCTGAATTTGCAATTACGTATTTATAGAGAAATAATATCAGCTATTTTAATGTTGCACTCCACTTGCAATAACTCATAATACGTATGTATTTTATTCTCTTTTTGCATTTTGTATTATCTGTTATATGAAGACAATATAGCTGCAAATCGAATATGTTTAATCAGAAGAATAGGATGAAATTCAAGCCTCAAGTAATGTTATCTTTCACATCCAGTTTTGAAACAGTTCTGAGAAGGTATGTGCTTAAGTCTTTTTGAGAGAAGCTCTAATGCTACCTGTACATTGCATCAGGTTCTACATATTATTAACTAATATTTTAATCTTAACGTAAACATGGTATTAAAGTTCATTTGCACTTTAAAGTACCAAAATACCTATTGTTTCTACAGAATATTTCATTCTTACAGTTAGTTAAGGAATCTGCTGCCATCTAGCGAGCACATATATTCTATTTTAATTAAAAGCATTTTACAATGCCAAATTTTTTAAAAAAAATATAGAATTACAATTAATTTCAGTCAGCTCCTTACTAACTAGAGTAATGAGGCGCTGAGACAAACTACAATGAAAAACGTAGGTAGCAGACTACAAGCTGAGGAGAATCGTGAAGACATGTAACTGCTCAGAGCCAGGCTGAACTGAGCCTTCTCTTTTCCAGGCTAACAGTCTCAGCTCTCAGCCTCTCCTCGTACAGAAGTTGCTCCAGTACCTAAATCACTTCTGCAACCTTCTGCTGGACTTGCTCCAGCAAGTCTCTATCTTTCTTGTACTGAGGAGCCCAGAGTTAGACACAGCACTCCAGATATCTACTCCTCCACATTCCATTTATTAGTTTACACACTGGCCCATACAGCAGTACTCAACTTTATAGCCTCCAAAACAAACTTTTTTTTTCTCTCCCCAGTTTTCAGCTTTAGAACATCTATGTAAGACCAGATGTATTAAATGTTACCAAAGAATAAACTCTTGGAAAAAAAACCTCCACAATTTTACAGTCACAGCTTTTTCTACAAAATTTCCAGCCTTTTGTAAGATAACTTTTTGCAAAGAATATTGCTATCTGGTTTTCAATAAACTGTAAACACCACAACTGCATCATCACCAACAACAACACCAGCCTATTCACAAGACTTTGACTAGTTTCCAGACATCAACAGCATCATACCAGTACCTATAGGCAGCTATGGATTGAAAGGGACAGTAAAGCACTGCAGGCAAATGACTGTTACAAGAACAAAGGCTTAGCAGCTCCTGCATATGAAGCAAATGAGAATAGAAATGTTAATCTGGTAGACAAATCTGGTCAGTTGAAGTCACACCTCTCCAGGACTTGTGGCCTTTAAAAGACAAACAGCTCAAGCACTTGTGAAGTGTGCTCCAAACTACACTATCTCAATGAAAA